ATCCATTGGAATCAAGTATGAAGAATACAAAATGGAATTCTTTCATAGATATAGGATTTGGGATATGTTTGGCCAAAATCAATGTATACCCAAAGTATTATTGGAAGAAAACCTCTTAAACAATGAAAGGTGCAGCCATAGATAGAAGGACTATTCAGTACCAAACAATAATAGAAACTATCATTAGTAGAACGGAAGTTATAATTCTCAAAGTTTATGAAAGCAATGAACATGAGAATGACATTTTATTAGGACATTTTATTAGGAAACAATTTCCTTAACCAATTCAAGAGTATGTTCAAATTGCATTATATGTGAAATTTTATATATCTTGTGGACATTAGCTTTACGCCTTTAGAATTTATAATGCTTATATTCGAGCGATAAAATCATTAATTTTCTACAACCAATGTGGCGAGGATAATAGAAAAACACACTCAAAAGAGATTAAAAAACTTGTGTTAGCATTGTAGAATAATGAAAAAACACAAGAAAGAGTAACCCTAGAATCTATTTCAAAAGAATTAAGAAGTACCTATGGTGACGATCCTACAAAACTATGGGAAGTTGATAAAACTAATGCCACTATTGAATTGATAGATCCAAAAACTATCATTAGAGTCAAACCAATGAGCTATAGTCTTGAAGATAAGGATGAATTTGAAAAGTAAATTCAAGAATTAATAATCCAAAAAATTATACAGGGCTTAAAGAGTCCTCATAGTAGCCCTGATTTTATGGTGAGAAACATAATGAAATAAAAAGAGGAGAAGCCAAAGTGGTTGTTAACTATAAACAACTTAATAGTAAACTAAATTCGATGGTGACTTTTTACCATGCAAGGAAACTATAATCAATAGCATTAGAGGAAAGAAAATATATTTGAAATTTGATTGCAAATAATAATTTTAGCAGATTAAGTTAACTTCTAAAAGTATTTCATTAACAGCTTTTAGTGCTCCTATAGGACACTATGAATGGCTAGTAATGCCTTTCGGATTGAAAAATGCACCTCAAATATTTCCAAGAAAAATGGATAATGTATTTTCTTCCATCAAAAGATTTTGCATGGTATATGACAATATATTAATCTCCTCTAATAATAAGAAAGAACATTTACATCATCTTAAGAAAATTTGCTTACTTATGCCAAAAGCATGGAATTTTACTTTCAAAAAAGAAAGTAGAAATAAGAAAACCAGAAATCAAACTCTTTGGGTTAACAATAGATTCCATTGAGATAGAATTACAACTTCACATTAGTGAGAAGATTTCATTATTCCCAGGTAAATTAGAATCTAGAGAATAGATTCAAAGGTTTCTAGGAATACTAAACTATGCAAAGCAATTTATTTAAAACCTAACTCAACTAAGACATCCTTTGCAAAAATTGCTCGAGAAGAAAGAAAATCAACAACACTAATCATGTGAAAAGAATTATAGAATATTGTAAAAACCTTCCTAAGTTACAACTACCTAGAGATGATGAAGAGTTAATTTTAGAATGTAATGCTTCAAATTTTTATTGGGGAATAGCTTCGAAAAATTTTCAAGAGAAAGTTTGTAGGTATGCCAGTGTTACATATAAAGAAGTAGAAACTAGATATCATTCCATTAAAATGGAATAAAAAAGTTCAATTTCTTCTTATTACTAAAATATTTTAAGATTAGAACTGACAATATTTAAGTTAAGGGATTTATTTTTAATAAATTACCTTTAACGCTAGAATATAAAAAATTAAATAGATAGCAAACATTCTTTGTCGAGTATGATTTTGAAATTAAACATGTCAAAGGAATTAATAATTGTCTTGCAAATTGCTTGAGTAGAGAAGGAGCTAATGGATGAGATCCTAAAACTCCAAAATAAAGGAAAAGACCTATTCTTGAAGGTAAAAAAAAAAAAAAAAAATTCATTGAAGGCAATAGCCAAATAAGAGAAGACCAAGAGAAAATGATCAAAGGCCAATAAATAATTAGTGAAAGCCAAGAAAAAATTATTAAAGGTCATGAGTTATTAAATAAGGGATAGGATGCCCTTGAAGAAGTAAAAAGCTGATAGAAAAATTAATGAATTTTAGAGTAATTATTACTATTAAAATTAGCTCCAAAAAATCTAGATAGACAACAAAGAAAAGCTCCCAAGAAGAGCTAAAAGAAAATTTTGAATAAGGTAATCCTTCAGTAGGTTTACTTGGAGAAAGTTTAGGAAAATTTGACTATTATGTCAAATACTCTCCCGTAGAAATATCAACATCTCAAGCTAAAAAGTTAGCTATTTAAAATGTAGAAAACCATAACTTTCAACCTCATTACTCAGGAAAGAAAAAGAAGAAAGTTACAATAATGGACACTTTGTCAAAAATGACAATGAGTGAAGAATATCTGCAAGAATACTGCATAGCCTATAAATTGCATATTCAATGAGGTGTATTGAGAATTGCCATTTTATCCATGAAGGGATTTATCCCATAATTAAATTTATGTAGGTTGCACACTTGAAAGCAATAAAAGAATTATTCAATTACAGTTTTTTAAATTGTATCTATCTCTTAAAAAATAATGAAGGGGTTTCAGAACTCTTAGAAGTTATACGCCAAGGAGTAAAAGACTTCAAGATGACACCAAAACTCAAGAAGTAGTATTTGTTAAAATCGACTCTGTTGCACTTGAATGGGAGAAGTCTCAATAATAGGCATGAAGAAGACATGGACTTGTAGTTTCTCCAATGAGATTTCAATGGTATCCACTGCAACGAGATTGATGACAAGCCTCAACCTGTTCAAAATAAAGTAGAAGAGAAAAGAAATCTTTGAAAATCTGATCTTAACTAGCAAAATAGTCCATAATAGACTATGCAAGCTGTTAAAGTATGACAATCATTATGGTTTTTGCTACAAAAAGGAATTTGCAAAAGAAAAAGCTGAAGTAGTATGTGACATAGGGACCACTCCCTCATATAGTGAAGAAGATCTCATTATCCTCTAAAGAATCCAAGGCAAAAAGATGTTAGCTCTTACGTCACTAAAGAAAAAGAGTGTCAATAAGATTCTATGTAATCTATTTTATCAAAAGTAAGACGTAAGCCTGGACTACCAAATAATAATGTAGACTTTAGACATTAGTAATGACAAAAGAAAAGGTTCCAAGAAGCGCTATAAAAGCCTCCTATAAGCTGTAAAAGGTATTTGGCATTTGAACATCCAAATACCTTACCTGAGAGCCTTTTACCATGCACTTGTAAACACCTTTCAAGAGGAAAAGGAACTTTCCATTTCTCTTCTTAAAAATAAAAACATGTTTTAGAGTAATTCTTATGTTTTTAACCTTCTTTATTTCCATAAAAAAAACAATGAGAAGAATCCCTAAAGAAACTTAGGCAATAGTGAGGTCACTTGTTTTGTCTAAATACCCATGGTAGCCAAAGTGTGGCGTTGAGGGTTGAACGAAGGAAGCATCAGCTTAACTAAAGGCTAGACTAAAGGACTTCAAGGTATACTTTTATACTCATTTATTTTATCATGCAAAAGCAAGGTAGGTATAGAAACAGTTTTATTATTCTTTGACATTATTATTCTTGATATTAGAATAATAGAAAGATAGTACTTGACCTCTTCTATTTCAAATAGAAAAGTCTACTTTAAAAACCTACTTATAATATTTGATTTTACGATAAAGAATTCTTTATGAGCAGCAATGTGAATATTAAAGAAATAAAACAGTAAAAATTTTGGAAAGAAATGAGTAATATTGAAGATTTAAATGACTATCATCTTTTTAAGAATCTTAAAAAGTTAAAGAAAGTAACAGTAGATTTAAAGGAAAATATAAAAAGGCATAAGGAGGTTAAGGTCCCGTTTGGTATAGCGGTTTTGGGGTAGCGGTTAACGGTTTACCTAAACCGCTAAATATAGGTGTTTGGTAAATTTATATATTTCAAAACCGCTATAATTAAAGTGTTTGGTAAAATTTTTATTTAGCGGTTTGAGATTAGTGGATAGCAGTTAGGGTTCAAATCGCTAGCGGATTGAAAAAGCTAGTTTATGTAACTTTTTGTACCAAACCACTAGCGGATTA